CAATGAGGTGTTCAAAGTGAATTTAGGAGTAAGACAAGCTGGCTGTCTGTTACTACTAATGATTATCTTAACTTTGGTGGGCTGATTTATGAGTCAGACTGCACAGGGAGTGAGAAGACAGGAATACGCTGGACCACCGATAAGAAGACTTTAGAACATCTGGATTTCACGTGTAGATGATTTATGTCTAATGTCACACAAACTCGAAGACTAACTGGCGAAAACCAACAAACTGGCAGAAGCAGTAGGCAGCAAAGACAGGGCTCCAGGTGAACATAGAGAAGATGGAGGTGATGAAGATAACCAACCAACCAACAACAACCGTCACCAACCACCATCAGCGGGAGAGATTTGGAAGAGGTCACTTCCTTCATTTATCCGGCCAGGAAGCATCGTTTCAACCACAGGCGGAACGGATGAAGATGTCAAATCCAGCCAGAATCAGAAAGGCAAGATACACCTTCATCAACCTGAAATCTTCTGCACTCAGCCAGCACAAAAAGGAAGATGTGAAGTTAGTCGGTCAGTTCTTCTATGTGGATCAGAAACTTGTACCGCGAGTGAGTCACGAAAAGAAATTCCAACAGGTCACAGCAGACTATTATCAATAAGCACCTTCGTTCTATACTGAAAATCAAATGGCCAGAAAGAATTATTAACAGGAAACTGTGGCAGCAAACCAACCAAGAACCGACTGCTCAACAAATATGTATGAGAAAATGGAGATGGATCGAGCATACTATGAGGAGATCGTCGAATGACATCGTGAGACAGGCTTTTGAGTGACATGCGAATGAGGGACGACCAGTGGGGGTCATAGGAAGAGATCGTGTGACGAGGGGATTAGAGATTGTGGGCAACCGTCGGCTCAGGTGAAGAGGACAACAGAAGATAGAACAAAGTGAAGATGTGTTGGTGAAGCCCTATATTCTACTCGGAACCCAAGAGAACAATAATAATGAATAATAATAGCAAACTTTGTGTCAATTTTTCTATCTTGGATTTCCAGAGTTTATTTGCTTTTATCATTGCCCTATGTCTAATCATTGGTCTGGAATCAAAACCTCGTAGACCTGAGTTTCACGCTTGTTTGTATACGTTTTGTGGTTCCCCATGATAGCCTATATATCGTTGTTTTTACAAAAATGAAGGATAATCATTTGCATGATTGCCTTCAACAACCAACTCTATCAGTCAGAAATAACACCTCCAACTGAATGTCTACGTTACAGACTTGATTGATATAATTCAGTAACGACGTAAGACCATACAGAAGAATATTAATTCTGCCTTAAGCGATCAGTCAATCTACTCACAAATGTGTTTATTCTATCTATCAGTTTGTAATTAATTAATCACTTTTTTTATTTATTTCCTAATTAATTGAATTAGGATAATAATTTCCTTTCGATAAATCAACGTCTTCTTTAATTTATACTGATATAGAAAACTGATTCTTATTTAACCAAGAGTTTGTAAATAAATGTTCTACAGTGTGTTCATGTTAAAAATGACAAATGTTGATTTAATTAAACTGTTATCAATGTTACTGATATTCTTAAATAATCACTTTTTAATACAATGAGAAATTTATTTCTATTCATAATACCTTTATTTTTCTCTGCAAAATGATATCTGTATGAACAGAACCTATGACTTTTGTTCATAAAAAAATAATAAAATAAAAACCCATCTGTTCCAATTAATTATTATTTAAAGTATCTGCTTATTGGTCATTTCCTGTTTATTTTCTCCTCTCCATTAAATGAGATATTTTTCTATTTTTAGGACGAATGATAAAGTTGGATCGATTGTTTACCCAACGGACAATTTATATGAGTAGTCAAAAAAATTTAGCCTATCTAAATGCATTACAATATTTTACTAATGAACCATCGCTGAATACACTTGCCACATGGTTATGCTTCCTGATACATTGGCCATTTCATGCTGCATGGTTAAGTGTATTTATTGAAAATTATCAAAAATGTGAAATTAAAGAACGTACTAATTATTTATTGAATGGTCGTCATACATCACGTTCACAACCTGAAGGATTAAATCGAACATCAATTGATGGAAAAATGAAACACTATGGAATGGAACAACTGGGTCCAAATTTAACTGGATTATACTCACGTGTATTAAAAAGGTAATTAATTATTTATTTTTTTATTTTGATTACAGCTTGATGCCACACCGTATTTTCAGTACAAGTATGGCATTTTCAGCATGGATATCGGTAGCCCAAATTCGCAGGCCGACCATTGATATCGGGTGTGCGTCGGTAGGGGATTGAACCCCGGACCATGTGCATGGTCGGTGAGAGTCCTAACCACTGTGCCACCGACGCAGAAAGTTTTTGATTAGATGTGATCTTATATATGCCCAAACCAATTTCACTTTTAACAGTTTGACAAAATTTGGGCATTGGGTATATGATATTCAGTATAATAAAGGTTTTCTTGTATTTCCCAATGAATGAAATACAAAACGATATTGTTGTTTTTACTGACGTTTAGCAATTTAATGCTAATAGCTTTATCAAAGTATTATTAAACTAGAATTTACAAAATCTCAGCATATATATATATATATATAACAACTTAATCATCGTTCTTCAGTATGGGGTCATTTTTCGTTGTCAACTTAGCCAACTGGTAAAGATAACAAAACCAGGTGTAGATTGTTGGATTTGATAAGTGTGTAAAGTTATAAAAACGGCGTGTGTTTAGATAATGAAATTGCTTATCACATTCGTGTTGATTTTGTGACTTCATGGGAGGTGGGGGTTGTTGTGTAACCAGGTCAAATTCTGTTTTAGTCCATCATTCATATTCAGACAATTTGGATTCCATTCGATATTTAGTGCTTCTGATGATATGAGACGTTCTTTGTGATTTCTGAAATTTTTCTGGATTATTTCAATATTTGGACAGTGTTATTAGAAGACTGAGATTATCTGAAAAATGTGATGTATTTATGCTATACATTTCGAACAATCTGATCACATATTTACTTGTCAAGTCGATATATATGTAAATGAATTAAGGGCAATTAAATTAAACAAAGTGACAAAAAAGATTTAAGAATGATTAACACAACGTTTGGCAATCCAATCAAATAAGGATTACCAAGGTAGGTTAAGAGTAATAAATGTGTGATCAGATTGTTCGAAATGTATGGAGCAAATACATCACATTTTTCAGATAATCTCCGTCTTCTAATAACACTATCCAAATTTATAAAAAGGACTGACTGTTTTAAATACTTCAATATTGTCAAAATCAACTTTATGACCTGATTCTGTAACAGGTAGACCTATGGCTGATGATTTTTCAAGCTCTCTAGTTCAGCTGGATTTCTCGGTGGGCGAACAGATGCTCTGCGGTGTTCATTTCTTCTGATTTTGATTTCTCAAGATGTTTGTCCGATATATATTGCATCACATTCTAAGCATTTAATTTTGTAGACACGATTAGATAAAGATTTGGTCTTTTATCCGGGCAAGGTTGTTTCACAGTGTATTTGATGTTTTGAAGAAAACTCTGATGTCGAGCTTATTGAGTACTCTTCTGATATTGTCTGATGTCTCCGCGCTATATGGAATGACGACTTTTGAGGTCCATGTTTTCGGAATACGTTTTCGACCATACTTAATGTCAGTGTTGATTTTGTTGATGAAGTTCGTTGGGTAGTTGTTTTGCTTGAGAGTTTCAGTAATGTTTGATATTTCTTCTTCTTTTTCTTTCTCATCCGTTATCAGAGAGTGTGCTCGTCTAAGAAGGCTTGAAACAACTGATACCTTTGCGCTGATGGGTCTTCTTTTTTTCTCAAGTAAAATCGACTGTTTATGCAGTTTATGCGGTCCCGTAATTTTTACCTGAAAATGCATCGCTACACACATCGAATTATTATTATCACTATTCATCCGTTGCTTTCTGAGTGAGACGTAAGGCTTCAGTGACACCATCTTATTGCACTCTATTCTCTGCGCTCACCTTTAACAAGCTCTATGACTAACTAAAAGCTTTCATTTTGTCTTCAAATGACCTTCTCCATGTCACCTTGTGACCGACACCTAAGACATTGCTTCTTATTCAGGTCCCACTTGAAAGACTTGGCTTGTTATGTCACTTGATGGTGTCTCTTTAGAGTACCTCTAATCCACCTCCTGCCTATTTGTTAAGCAATAGTCGTCTGACTAATCAGTCACAAACTTCAAGAATTGACTTACAAATTTATCAACAAAATCGGAAAATAAGTGTATATGGTTATGATATAAGAATAAAACTTGGGCACTGTGGTAGAGTGTAATTCCATTATGGGTAAATTTTATTTTGATAGAGTCTCACAGTGTTATACAGTAATATTTACTGATGACCACCTTTCGAGCACAATTTATTGCTCATAATCATATCAAGGTAATCACACGACTTCCTAAATTCATTTATATAGTTCCATTGTTTTTCACTTGATTTTCACTTGATTTGATTGGTAGTAATATTTTACATATTTCGGGTATGAGTGATGAATCATCCCTATTGCATGTGTTGGGTGTAGATTCGATGAACAAGGATTCAGTAATCAACCTCTCTCTCCACCTATCTAGATTACTTTTTAGAATTTTGACCCTCTCCCACCCTATTGTGTGGTTGTGTGTTAATGCATGCATTGCAATTGCCGAGCTTTTTTCTAAATTACTTATCTTCTCTGGGTCAACCATTCTTACCTTAGCTAAATTCTTATGTTCTGACAATCTGACTACCCCTGACCTACTAGTTTGACCTATGTAGTTGACCTCAGTCACAGTCATTGCAGGGTATTTTGTAAATTATATTATTTTGTCTAATTGGGTCAACTGGGTCCCTTGACCTACAGAGCTTGTCCCTGAGTGAGTTTGTAGGTCTAAATGCCACCCTAATTCCTGATTTATTTAGAATCCTACGTAGGGTCTCAGATGTCCTGGCTTTATATGGTATAACTGTAGATGACTTATATTCTCTCTTATTTATGTTATTAATACTAGTTTCACAATTATTTTTATTTTTGTTTTGGCCTTTTTTAATCTTCCTTATGAATTTTAAAGGATAGTTATTTGACACAAACGCTTCTTCTATCTGTTTTATTTCATCATTTAGGTCTTTTTTGTGCTACTTAGTGCCATTGCTCGGTTTGTTAGACACTTAACTAAGCCTGCCTTAACAGTTAAAGGATGAGATGGATTAAAGTCTAAATATCTATTAGAATGCGTTGGTTTTCTATAAACACTAGTGTGTAGTTTGCCTTCTTCTATTCGTTTTATTTTACAATCTAACATGACTAATTCTCCTTGCTCATTTTCGGCTTCAAATGTGAACTTTATTCCCTCCAATAGTGAGTTTATGTGTGCCAAGAAGCTAGAGATATGTTCTGTTTTTAACACTGAAAGTGTCATCCACATATCTCCACCAGTACTTTCTCCATTTCTTTTCTCTTTCTTTTTGCATGACCTTCCGAACTCACCCAAAGTTAACTTCATTAAGTACGCTGATGATCTGACCGTTTCTGTCCCTGTAGTTTCCACATCGGATTGTTCCCATATGAATGGCTTCTTAGCTGAAGTTAAGGATTGGTCTAGCTCAAATGGTCTTAAACTAAATCCAACTAAATGTAATACAGTTGATTTCAGCTTGAGAAGTGAAAAAGACATGCATGGATTGATCCAATCTCATGATTGTTGTAATATTGAACGGTACCATGATAGAGAGTAAGTCAAGTGTTTCTTATCTTGGCATTAGTTTCTCTTCAAACCTTTGCTGGTCGTCTCACATTCTTATAGTTTCTACGAAAGTTTTCCGTCTGACTTATTACATAAAGAAGTTGAGGCACTCAGGTATAACCCAATCTCTTCTTATACAATTTATTAATTCATGTATTTTGCCCATCATTCTTTATTGTTCTCCATTATTCTTCCCTGGGCTACTCAAAAAAGACCATATAATACTACGAAGAACATTGAGGGCTGTAAGTAGGGTCAGTGCTATCCCTTTGACTCAACTAACCGACACTGTTGTCAATAGGCATATGAATTCTTGTAAACAGTTAGCTAAAGTTATCTTGTCTGATAGTGAACATCCTCTTTATTCACATTTGTTTCCTTGCATCTCTTCGGGTAAGACGAGAAGAAATTTCATAAACATTTATCCTCGCACTACAAAATATAAAAATTCGACCGTACCATATTTGGCACGAGTATTGTGTGAAGAGACGAATATCAGAAAAGAACTTTTACAACTTTTAAATCATTAACTACACTATAAAATGTAATGATGCATATTATTGCATGTGTGATTTGTTATATTATTTATTTATTATTGACTATGACCTAGAAATGGTGTATTTTATTGGGTTTTTTTTTATTTTTCCTATTAACTATCAATATTTTTAAAATTTTATATATTTATATAATTATAAAAAGAGCTAAACCAATGCAATATGTAAAATGAAACGCTGAAAATTCCATGCTGTAAATTGTTATTGTTGTGGAATAAAGTGATTATTATTATTATTATTACCATATTTTTGGAGTAGGATCAAACGTATTAAGTGCCATATTTTCCCAGCTATCCATAAATATATCTGCTACGACAGGAGATATTGGTGATCCCATTGCTACACCTTCAGTTTTTCTATATAGTTTGCCCTGGAATTTAAAGATAGTAGATGTGAGGCACAACTGAATTCCTAAAATAATTTCTTCAATGGGTAGTTTCGTCCGATAAGTGAGTTCAGGGTCTGCAGTTAATTCTTTTATAACTGCTTCTAAGGATATATTGATTGGTATGTTACTATAAAGACTGGTTATATCAAAACTAACCATTGTTTCATCATTCTCTAGTTGAATGTCATTTAGTTTATTTTTTATCTCAAATGAATTAGCTAGTCTAGAGTTTGAGCTGTATATTACTGTATAACACTGTGAGACTTTATCAAAATAAAATTTACCCATAATGGAATTATATGATTATGAAATGAATTCTCAGCGCCAACTTAATTATTCCTAAATCTCCTTAACAGCAGCTCAAAATATTTTAACAAGAATGAATGTGAATTTGCAAAATGATCCAGAAATTAACAAAACTGAAGTGTGCAAATTATATTTATTATTAT